AGACATAAATAGGTTTAAAACCTATGTGTCAGGGCAGTAAATTCACAGTAGGTAGACTCTAGGAATCCCTTCCTTACTTGTTACATTTTGTACAACAGATGGAGACATATGGAAATATTTTAGCATCCTCTAGGTAACAGGCTCCACGTTGGCACTGGGCCATGGTAGGCATGGTTAGACAGAAGTTTCTCAACTGATCATTTCCAGCAGCTATGCCTCAAATCCCATCATTCAACCTTTATGATACAGGGACTGGTATCGCCACCTTCTATTCAGGGCAAGAGCAACACACTGCTGCTCTGCTACCTCTGTGGGTAAGCCTACTGCAACTTCTTTTCGTATATCCTTAACAGGCCATAGTCTGTGGAGCTTTTGTTCTTTAAGTCACACAGGAGGAAACAGACATGGTAGTTACAAGTTCCCAAGTCATTCAGATAGAGGGTATCAGAGTTGTCTTTAAACCTGGGTCTGTTTAATTCTAAATCTGTTATCCTTTCTCAAAAACTAGCACAGTAGCAGCCATATTAGAAGTCACTGCTGGGTTTGTTACTCAGTATGCACATGTGAGGGGGGTGCACAAAAGAGAAAGAAGAGAGGAATGTGGCTCTGGGGGCTCTGCTGTACCCTTAAACATCACCCACAGGGGGCCAAACACTGTCTCAGAATAGGCCTGGGAGGGACACTCCTACATCGAACCATGCACTAGTGCTTAGTGTCTCCTTGGAGAAAGGTCAACTCAGGGAAAACACTCCTGCCCACTTCCACTAAATTGCCCAGCTTGGCATTTAATTCACTCTATAGCCCACATCATCTGTGAACCCACAATCCTCCTGCCTCAACCTCCCAACTATTAGTAGCTAGGACTGCAGGCATGTGCCTCCAGGCCCAGCTGCAAAGCCTTTCCCATTGGACTCATATCAACCTCATTGGATTTTTCCTTCCTGGGGCCTTCCTTCTGCTTTGACCTTATTTTCCAGCCTAATGGTTCTTAACTGGGAGAGGGGTGACTTCATACTCCAGGGGACATTTGACACAGTCTGAAGACACTTTGGCTTTTCCAGTTGTGTGTGTCAGGGGGAGTTCTAATGACATTCTCAGCAAAGACCAAGGAGACTACGAAAGTAGTACAACACCAACTGGAGCTCAATTAGCCCACACAGACTACAGTGGTTCAGCGGGTGCATGCATGGTAGGATGGCACAAAACCCCAAAGTGGACCGTGAACATCTCAGAGGCAAAGGCAGACAGTGCCAAAAGGGCAGAGTTGACTTAGAACCAGAATAAACAATCAATGGGGTGAAGCAAGGCCTATCAATGGAGTCACAAAGGCTGGTGAGATGACGGTAAAGGGCTGGAATGGCCATCTGTGGGCATTCTGTAATTTTAAGGAATTCTAAGCAGAGTGATGACAAGGTGACAGGTATGGGAATGTCTGGCAGGGAACAAATAGGTAGAAAATTATGGGCAGCAATCTGATAACAACAAAGCAGGAACTAGAACAGCCATGGCCAGGAAGGGAATAAGGACTTGGTGGGTGTCTCCCTTGGAGGTATCAAAGTAACAGAACTGGCTTGTTTCAGATAGGACAGAAAAAAAAAAAAAAAAAAAAAAAAAAAAAAAAAAAAAAAAAACCGAATTTGAAGACTGTCCACTAGGGGGAGGTATTTGATCAGACACTACTTGAGGCAGGAAGGGGAAAGTGTGTCGTTGTCACCTTTGGCATCTTGAGATCGCTTCTGCTCAGACACCCACTGCAGATGCAGGTGGATGGAAGCTGCTGGAGGATCAAGAGGAGGCCTGGTCTGGGGGCCAGGATCCCAGAAGTGAAAATACATACTTGTACAAAGCAGCCCCCAGAGGATCCCCTGCCCCTAGCAACTTCACACAGCCACAGCAGGACGCTCAGAACAGTTTGCACACTTTTTTTTTCCCCAAGCAGAGGCTTTTATGAACTAACAGTTCATTGTCTTTGCTCTGCATTGACACCTCACTTCCCTCTCTACAACAGTGTCTGCAGTTTGTATACAAAAGTACAAAATGTAGAAAAGCTGTAGTGTAAAGCAAGCATTGACGACAGTGAGGAACACAAGGACCCTTCTAGACCCCTGTCTCATCCCTCTGCTTTTGCTCCTGCCAGCACCTACATCCGAGGTGCCCCAAAGAGCCCCCATCTAGCTTCTGTAGATGACTCCATGCCACTCCCCACTGAGGCAAACATTCAGGTCCCACATGTGCCTCCCTTGGCTCTCAGTCATGAAGAATGTCATCCATAGTCATCAGTCTCAGGGACAGCCAGGCGAGTCATTCAGTAGTTGGTCTTCACTCAGTAGAGTCTGTAAGAACATAGCCAATAGGACAGTTTAAAAGTTCATAGGCCAAGGCCACCCTGCAGCATCTTCACAAGAAACACAGGGACAGTGGAATTGGCCCATATACAATACCACTGACCTACACAGTTGTGGTGACCCAGGGAGCATGAGCAATGAGCACTGAACAGACAGTAATGCTAAGATAAAAACAGAGTGAGGGTGCAGCTTGGTGTACACAAGTACACAAGCATTTGCTTTGCTTGCACAATGACCTAGGTTCAATCCCTACCACCAGCAGACACATACACACAAGATAAAACTAAGCCTTTCCTCTTAGAAGTCTGCTAGAGATCACAGACCAAGACTGTACAGACTTTTTCCTGCATGAGCCAAGAGACAAAGCCTGTTGGATTGATGTGGTCTTGCTAAGATATGAGAGACTCTTCCATCTTGCCTTTAGATGGTTTTCTAATGGCCATGGGTGGTCTTCCCATGTGATATACAAGAGGGCTATCATTATCTCTGCTTTACAGATAACAAAAGCCAGTCTCAGAGGGACAATGGCACACCTATGCTCCTAGACCTTGTAAAAGGCAAAGGACTTTAACCATTCCTACACATTCCCCACTCCCAAAAAATCTGTTGTTCTTTCATTGGGACCAAGCTGTCTCCCTATGGACAGATTTGTATTCCTGGACATGGCACACCCTCCTAGCTTGCAGAACATATTCACGATGTCAGAGGAGTGGTGGGACTGAATGTTTCTCCTGTGCCAAGAAGGCAGGACAGTATTCACTGAGCTAGAAGTGAGCCAGGGCTTTGATCTGGCTAGACAGTTGACCCAGAACTGCTCGGGCACCATCTTATCATTACCAGACCTAAGACCAGGGAAAGGATCCAGCACCTTGTATGTTCAGGCTGACTCTGATGAAAGGCCAGTGAAGCCTGTGGTGGTTCAGAGCCCAGCAACAAGCCAAATGGAGGAGGTCTTTCAGATGCTGTGTGCCTCAGGGCTGGCTCAGACTCTGACCAGCTATCAAGCACCACCATTTCCTGTCCTGTGACCATGACCACCACACAAAGCTTACTGGGTTTCACTCACCATGCTGCAAGGAAGGGGATTGGAATCCTACCGTGAGACGATGGATGTCTTGGGAGAGGAGCCCTATCTGTGTCACGGTGCCTTCAGAAGGTGCCATCTGTAAAACGGGCAGCAGCCTGGTCAGCACATCGGGATCAAGCCTATGCTTTGCAGAGACAGCAGCATGCAAAGCCCCTTCTACTCAGGCCTGTCCTCTCCAGGACATTCTTCCCTAGAGCGTGGACACGGTGTGCTCTAGGCCCCAGGGAGTGACAGCTGGTGAGACACATGCAGTTTCGGTTCCTGCCCTGCATGCACACGCTCTGCTGAAGCCACACTCAGCGTCAGCACTCTGTGTGGAGAAGCCGGGCACAGGCAGAGCCCGTCAGAAGCAGCCTCCTGCACATGTCCAGTGGTCCAACTATTTCACAGGGATGGAAGCCTCCAGACTACTACTGCACAGAGGATGATTTCCGGGTACAGGACCCCAGCTATCAGTGCTGTGGTCTAAGAGTGCATCATCAGGAGGCTGCTGCCTCTTCATAGCACAGGAGCTTCCTTCTCTTGTCTTCCACCTCCTTGGGTACTGATGGCCTACTGGATGCTGCAGACTTGGAGGTATCAAGGGCAACCCCTTGTAGCAGGGAAAACTCAGGTCCACTAAAGGAATAGGAGTTACATGAGGCCACACAGAGATTCAGCAGCAATACAATTCCATGCAAGGTCAGAAAACAGATACATGCTGTCCCTTACTGAGACATAACCAACAGGGCACAAAACCTGGCCTGACCTGCTCTACAACAGCACTGGCCATTCAGTGGCCCTGGGTACCAGAATCAAATACTAATATTGCCACCTGGCAAGCTTGTGCCCATTTCTCTCACTAGCTGGACTTGAGGGGAGGTAGTAGCCTTGGGTAACTCTTCTATGTGTACTAACAGCCAAATGGTAAGCATTGCCTATATCTGAGGCAGAATCAGAATGCTGTAATGGTCCAGCACTCCTGCCTTCACTTCCAGATGTCTGAAACACTGCTGTTATTCTTCTGTAGACGAAGCCCACTGGACCCAGGTGTCAAACACTGTCCAGTCCCAAACTGGAATTTCCTGAGAGGCTCAGACTGGCAGAGTACACACCTCTTCCTGGTCAGTCTCTGGCCAGACACAGCCCATCTGGTGGGCCCATTACCAGTTAGTCAGTGTCTAAAGCAGGAGAGCAGCTCTGTTTCTGCTCTTTTGGGAGACAAAGGGGGCAAGATGTAAAAAGCAGTCTTGCCAGAAAGGCTGCCTGTTCATCTCCCCACCCTTCACTCTGAGGCTCATGCTGCTGAAATGGAAAACAACCTAGGGTCTGTGTGACAGATAAAAACCTCTAGCCAGGGTGTGTGTGATACCCCACCTGTTTCACAGAGGGAAATGAGGACCAAGACAACAGGGCCACAGACTCCTCTAACAGATGCTCTATTCCCTTGGTTAAATCCTAAGCTATAGGCCCTTAAGTGGTGTAGTTGGTATCACCCTACCTCCAGCCATGTCAGGCTTTCTTCCCCCAACAAAATTGAAGCTGTTTCATACTTTCTACATAAATATTGTTTTTATTTCCAGAAAGAAATGGCCACCCATAGTAAGGTACAATCAAATCATGTTAACACCATGGCCCACAATACTCTGTTGTCCCTTTGATCTCAGCCAAGACTCTGTGGCCCACCGGCCTAAGGCACTTGGAATTCTTTCCTCAACTGGAGCATAGGGGCAGTGTCTGAGAGCTGGGCCTCTTCAGATTGCCTAGGATGTCTGGGCCTGCCAGCTGAAATATGGATATTAAGAATGACTAAATATGTACAAGTATCTTCAGGAGATTTCCCCTCAGTCCACATTTGGCTATAGTCCCCAGCGTCTGTCTTCTCTGTAGCTGTGTAACTGCATTATCCTGACCATCTTTATGGTGTGTAGAGAGACCAGCCCAAAAGTACACAATTGCTTTTTCTGCACAACATGCACAAGGACAGAAGTGAAGTGCAGTTATATGGTGACACACGGTGTTACTGCAAGCGCTCCGTGCAAAAAGAAGGCAGATGACTGGCATCAGCTTATCTGTCCCACCTGGTCCAGCCCATCTAGTTCATGGTTATCAAGGGGACTCTGGCCCCTATAGACACCATAGACCCTGTGGCTGTCATTGGCCGCATCGCCAGGCTCCATGGGGCAAATGCTATAGACACCATAGACCCTGTGGCTGTCATTGGCCGCATCGCCAGGCTCTTTGTGGCAAATATAATCTGTAGATTCATCAAACTTCTTTTTCCTCATGTTTCCAAAATGTGAAAATCCAAGTTTCCTGGGCTGAAACAGCAAATGCAAGATGGATGAGTAGGAGCTTCCAGGTCAGGGTACAGACGTGACTGACAACACATTTGGGAGCTAGCTCAAGAAGAAAGAAATGAAAGTGCTTTTGGGAAGCAGGGGTTTTGATAACATGTTCTATGCTGAAACAAAGCCGACAGATGAATAACCTTGACCGCAGAGAGCTGCTCCTCCAAGGCTGTGCCCAAAACTCAGGCCTGATGGTCCCAAAGTGAATTCCTATTTCCCAAGATAGGTTGAAGGGTTCCCTGGAATGCTACTGTCTGCATCTGAAGTCAAGTGCAGGGGACTTGTCTCACCACAGCCTCTGCACTAAGAGTGAGGAATACCCAGAGCCCTGAGGACCTCTGGACCCTGGAGAGCACTGGGTTGGCCTTCTTCCTTGTCTGAGTTTCACCCACCCCATGCTGTTTCTCCTGGGCTCCTGGGGACATACTACCTGTCCTACATCCTTAGAGAGGGCTATGTGGACAGGAAGTTTGGCTAGACCATAGGCACCAATGATTGCTCAGGGAGAGTTCAGCTCTGCCTCTGGAGTTCTGTGGGCCTGCAGTTAGCTTCAGACTAAGGTTTCACTCAGGCTGAACTTTGTAGGATTCAGAGAGACCAGAGAATGAGACAGGTGCTTGGATGATACTGGGTCAGCTGTGTGCTGGCTTCATCGTAGAACACATGAAGCAGGACCAGCTGCTATGGGAGCACATCCAGTGCTGGGAAGATGGCAAGCCCCTGGGGCATTATGGCACACAGATGGGCCTGTCTGAAGGGAACCCAGTACTCATCTGCTTGGCAGAACTGGGGTAGAGAACAGCTTCTCCAGAAGAGCTACTTCCTGTACATGGTCTCAGTTTACAGAAACCTGTGCTGTTTGCCTGGGAGTCAGGCCAAGGAGGGAATGGATCTAATAAAGACGAACAGATCTCAGGAACAGACTCCTACAGCAAAAGCCAAGCATGCTCCTCAACATCATGGCTGCACTCATTGGTCTGGGCCAGACACTGAACTAACAGATGCTGAAATAAGGCTCAGAAGACAGGCCACAGGGACCCACCCACAACGGTTCTGATGGCTCACCCGGACTTTGGCTGTGGTGGTCAGAGGTGAGTAAGCTGGCGAGGCCATTTTATCTCGTTTTTCCTGTTCAGCCTCAGGACCAATCAGGGCATTGAACTTGGTGGTCAGATGGCGCCTGAGGAGTGTCTTCTGTGGGGGGATATTAAGAAGCATAGCCAGGGTGTCTCCAGTGAAGCGTGGCTCTAGGATCTAAGGAGGAAACACAGACAAACATAGATGGTGGCTACTATAGAAGGCCCTGGGTGGGAGGAGCTGGGACAGGAAGAACTTGTTTCCTGGGCCTCTGGAACATAGGCTGTGCTCTGTGTCCCACCTACTCTGTCTCCCCAGCGTGAGGCCTGGATTTAAGTAGACTAGCATGTTTGTTGACTGAGCACTTCATCTTCACAGGCTAGCAGGGAACAGGCCTCTTTGATAAGCCTATTTTCCAGTCTTCTCTGATGGCATCTAAGCCACCACCTCCACACTTCCTTTCTGGCCTTGATACTTGACAGAGCTAAATAATGATAAAGATCATATCATGACAATCAGGATATTACATATGGTGACCTCCCCCTCATTTCCCCAGCCCCCGTGTTCATCTGGGAACAGGTGGAGTTGCCTTTTCCAGGATGGATCTAATGCAACCACCAGCCTAACTGGAACCCTCTGGACTGGAGCTGAGGAAACTCTTGCAGAAACCATCTTGGTTCTTTCTGTAAGGTACAGTAATGCTCAACCAGAAACACTTTGAGGTTTCAAATTTTATAAAAATGGTTCAGATGAAGTGCCTCGTCGTTTTTTCTCACTAGAATGCCTGACCCTTACAAAGTATGAAGCTTAGCTTCAGTCATCAACTTAACACAGTGCAATCACCTGGGAAGAGTCTCCAGGAGGTGCTGCCTAGATCAGGTTGGCCTGCAGGCATGACTGTGAGGGATTTTTCTTACTTGGGTTGACTGGGTGGGAAGACCTGTCCTGAACATGGGTGGTACACCACTGCGTAGGCTGGCTGCCGGGTGGTGTAAGAGTTGAGAAAGGAACTGAGCAGAAGCACTCAAGTGTTCATGCTCTCCTCTGAACTGCAGATATCATGTGACCAGCTGTCTCGAATTCCTGCTACTTCAACTGACGCCTATAATCTAGCTAAAATAAACCCCTTCTCCCTTATATTGCTTCTCGTCAGCATATTTTTAACACAGCCACAGAAATAAATCCAGGCTGGAACTATAGCTTTGGAACTACCCCGTTTACACCAGAGTACATGGGCGGGCCCAGAGAGGCACTCACAATCAGGCCGCCATGGACACCACTTCCTCGAAGGTTGGGGGCATACTCTGCCAGGTCCACAGATCGCAGCCACTCCATTACCCTGTGGTTGGACCACTGCACAACTTCTGAAGGAGAAAGGTTACTCTGTGATGGAGGAGAATGAAGAAATTAGGCTCCGTGTTGTCCTCTGTGGGGCCAGCAGCTCTCCAGAGTCTTGTCCCAGATGTTTCACCACAACAGCAGATTCTTAGGCCTTGCAACCCAGGCCAACCAGGCCACTTGCCCGAGAGCCTGCCCAGTTCTAAGAAATCAGTATCTTATTGAATTTGCTGCAATGTTTATACTTAAATATCTGACTTCATCATTCTGTTATGCTCTAACCTTTTGGCTAATTTTGGTACAAACAAATGAAGACATATGGGTTTTTATGTAGTGATCCAACAGAATTTTAAAGATTCAATTATGAGCTAACTATTTTCTAAGTAAAAGTACTCCCTGGCCTGGGTAAATGTTTTAAGGGAATCCACAACCAGATAGTGCAGCTGGGTATTGAGCGACAGCTCAGCAGTGTAGGGTGCTTACTGCTCCTAGAGGACCTAGGTTCAGTTCCCACTCCTGGTGGCTCACAACCAAGAGATCAGATACCCTCTTCTGACCTCTATGAGTACCTACATACATATCATATATACAAACACAAAAATAACAAGTAAGTCTTTTTTTGTAAAATATAATAATCTTTATATATTTTCACATGGCCCGTGGGCTTCAAAAGGGTCAGCGCTTGCAAGATTTATGTGTTCAATAGCAGGGAAATAAGAGGACAAAAGGCAAATGTAGGGATTTTAAATCCCTAAAGAACCAGAGTCAGGCCAGTTACCCACAAAAGAGAAGGTCGATGTGATCCATAGGCATTCAGTTTGGGCCCCACTAGGAAGTCCTGAAGTTTATAGAACATTATGATGTGTACCACTCGTATGTGGTCCTCTACATTTGTGGACACTATTTCCCCTCTAGTAAGATCCTATATGTCTAGGCTGAAGGCTAGTTAATCTTATACCAGCAAGGAGGGCAACACACTCTGAACTGTCTAGTACTTTGGAACATTGTCCCCTCTGATCCCCTGGACCTTGCCTTCTCTGTCTACTCTGACACCATGTTTCCACACTGTCTTTCCTTTCCCCCATGTTTTACATCATAACAAACCATTGGGCCATTATGATGACTTAGAAAGACTACCCTGAGTGAGGGTGGGGGATCAGGGTTTAGTGACTACCATTAGACATAAAGTGTCTAATGGCAATAGGGGACTTACAGGTACCAGAATCTCAAGTACCATGGTCCATTTTGTGACGGTGCCATCCTCATTTTCTCAGACATGATATTCCAGGTGTCCTGACTTGGGGCCACCTGGACAGCTAGTACAGCCCCTCACCTCATCAGCAGGCCTCCTGTGCAGGCAATGGGGGTTGAACTTATTGACATGTAGCACATGAATAGCACATTTGATGCTGAGATGATGGAGTTGGCTGGTGACTTTTAAGAAAAGTAGATCATTCTGGAAGACAAAGGTTCTGATTGACAAGCCAGTTTCTGAGGTGACAAAAATCCCATAAGTTCTTTCCTGACCAAACAGACACGGCTTCCACATCTCAGAAAGGTGCTCATGGACATTTCAACAGCTCCACTTACCACCACGGTTTGTACTCTGGCATTTGGCATGTCTTATGTAACAGCAATACTCCATAAGAATGTGAGGAAGGGGGAGGAATCAAGTTTAAAATAACTATCATGGGAACACCTGGACTGGCTGCTCACTGGAACAACAGAAACACTCAAGGGAAAATCCTCACCACAGTTAGGTATTGCAGCATTCGGCCATCAACTCTCGATTCATGAAATTGGTCTTTGTATTGGGGTAAGCCAATATCATCAAGCCACCCTACAAAAACAGATGTGTTAAGGATTCATAAGAACAGTCAATGTGGGCACCAAGGGGAAAGGCAACAAATGATCACTCTGAGGCTCTCGGTTTATTCCAAAACATTAGGAATCCACCGTCTTTCATAAGAAGGCTGCCATCTTTGGGGCATACATTCAATGGGAAATTCTTTTGCCCTTTGGAACAACCAGAAATATTCTTAATAAATAGATGCCTGTCCTTACGTGTCACCCAAATGTGGTCAAGCAGTGCAGACTTCTCCTCTTGCTTGGCATTGATCGCTTTCACTGCTAAGACCAGCTTCTTCCTATGGAGGGGGTGTTTAATCCCTAGCTCCTGAAAGCAAAAGATGAACACATGAACTTTTGGCAGACAACTTGTCCTCAGAGGATATCATGTCATTTTGGAGATGCCTGAGGGTGGTGGTAGATCTTTTCACAGTGCCCTGAGATGTTAACCTGCAGCAGTAGGGAATCTCGGGCTTCCCTGCCCACCCTCTGTGTATATGGAGTAGATGGAAACCACCACCTAGCCATGCACTATTCCCTATGCACTGTCCTAGGGGAAAAGAGGGGCGGCTTCTCGTCATGCTCAACCCTTACCTTTTCCATGTCCTGAGGGGTAGCTGTAAGTAGTGTATGGCCAGATGCCACCCACTGTCTGGCAAAAATCACATACTGAGCCAGGCCGAAATCCTCTAGCCACGCACATACACGTTCTGTGCTCCACTGGGCAAAGGGGGCATTGGCATCACTGGGAAGCAAAGAGAGTGTGCTTCTGTTATAAGGAACCTGGGGCTTTGCATAGTGGGCTAGGGGGTCATCAGCATCACTGGGAAGCAGAGGGAGAGTACACTTCTGTTATAAGGAACCTGGGGCTTTGTACGGTACAAGGCCACAGAAAAAACTTTTTAAAAGAAGAGCCAACAAGGTGAACAGCATTATAGCACAGCCCACCCATGTTTGTAAATTTTATGTTTCAACTGCAGCTTTTCGGAGCATGGGGTAGCCTCCATCATCCCCAGGGGCCTGTTTATTGCACACAGGTCCAGAAATGCACTGAACACCTATGATCAAATCATTTTGTCCATAAGACTCAACACTCTTGCTTGGGAAACTATAAAAAGACAGTCCATTCTCTAACACAAAAAAGAGGAAAAATCCAAGCCAAACCTCTTCTAACTTACAGCAGTGAGTCCCTTATTTATAATGAAATACCAGGGGCATTTCCATTATAATCAACATACATGCTGTGTCTATCAGTGCTGATTAATAACATCAGTTGGAGAGATTACTCAGCTAAGAATGAATAAAAGTGGAACAGCTTTAGAAAAGTAGAAATAAGGAACTCAATTCTTTTCAAATGATACGATTTCCCACCTAGACACCCACAAGAACCCAGTCATTGGAATATGCAATAAGCATTACATGCAAATGTCAGTTAGCCATATAGATACCACAGCTTTTATTAAAACAATGAAGTACATCCCCACCAAACCAACTAGAATCATCAGCTCTCTAAGTGCTGCGGAAGAAGGATGACACTCTGGCTGTGTATCAGCATAGGTAGAGGTACAGTGGGGCAACATAGCTGCAACAATCAACTGAGCAACATAAAAGGAAATATGAATAAATAAAGACCTAGGTATTAAATACACAAGAACCATCCATTCTTAAGGACATCAATGTTTCATTTGAAGTGTGAATGCAATGGCAGATTCGAAGTCCCAGCTGAGTTATGGAAAAGGATGGATAAAACAACTTCATATTCAGTTTTAAATATAAATGGGGATTATGGATCTAGGACACTAGTTATTCAGAGAGATTCCCTTCTAGCAGAGAACAATTCTCCCCTGGTAAGCATGGAGGGTGGATTCCAGGAGGCTGCTCAAGCCCCAGATATAAAATGTAATGTTTGCATATAACCTACACACATCCTCCCAAATTCTTTAAATAATACCCCGATTACTTGTCACACCTAATGCAACACAAACGGCACGTACAGATGTTACCATTTTATTGTTAGGTAGTAACAAAGAAAAAGTCCATTCAGATCTAGTACAGTTTATATAACCATTGTAGGACTTCCTATATTGTCCAGCCTCGTTCAGTTCAATAGACACAGAAGTTCTGGATGCCTAGGGCCAGCTGCACCCCTACCATCCAGGAATGATTTTTAAGAACTTTTTGAATACCTGGATAAGCTGTCTTTATACAGAGAATTCCTTAAAGGATCATAAAGAAACAAGCATTCTAGAATAAATACTGGGATAAGTACTGAACACTCCTAGCCTAGAGCTTGGTTTTCAGCAAGGCTCAAATAGGTGCAGATCCAGATTTTATAAGGCTACAATTTGTACAAATTGGGGTAACCTCTGTATAGAAAATATAAAATATGAATATAGAGTTAGGGAATATTTGGATTGAGAAAACATTGTAAAAAAAATCACAAATTCAGCATAATGAAACCTGCCACAAAATTTAAAAAATGTTAAATGAATTCCTAAATATAACTCTGTAGTACTTTTTCACTCTCACAAAGGTATGGACTCTGACCACTTCTTCATATACCCATAGCTCTGTAATACGTTCTATGAAATAGAACTTCACTCTATTTTCTGGCTTGACTGCTAATGTTTATTTTATTTTATTTTTTTTTTTGAGATGGGGTTGAATGCAGCTTATACTGACCTCAATATGTAGCTAAGGATGACCTTGAACTTCTGATCCTTCTGCATTCTCCAAATGAGGATTTCTAGGATTACAGGTGTGCACCATTCTGCAGCACCAGGGATGGGCAAGCACTCTACAATAGTGTTATATCACCAGCCCTCATTTTTTTTATTATAAGAACTAATAAAACAGCATCAGCGACACAATTTACAACTGGCACTGTCATGTGCATTTTCAGAACCATTGTGATATTTCAGAAAATTTCTATTAAGTAATATATAAAGGATACTACTACACAGCTCAAGTTTTACAGTGTGGTAACCAGTCTTACACTTTTGAAATTGACAAGACCCCTTAAGTGGTGTGTTGTCTATGTCCTTCCAGCAGGGGCATCAGACTTATTGATATCTTTTTTGATGTCAGGACAGTATATAAAATGAGCAAGAAATGACAACCTTCTTACAGTGAGTTCATGTGACTCACTTTATATTAATATCAATTTTCTTCGCCACTTCTGTATAAAGTCTATCTCTTGCCTTTACTGCTCTTGATGGGATCTGGCATTTTGGCTTAAAATTTGCTTTGTTTCCTTTTAGTGTTTTGAGATAAGGCCTCATCCTGTGGTTCATACTGGCCTTGAATTTTTGGCAATAGAAGTATGAACCACTATACCCACCTTCTTAACTTGTTTCTTTTGTGTGTGCGTGCAGAAGGGTATGCTACACTCATGTGTGGGCATATGCATGTGTATGCACTGTATATTACCTTACATTTTGAGTCAGGGCCTCTCAAGGAATCCTGAACTCACCAACTGGCTAGACTGGCTGATAGCTATCTCTATTCCCCTCCCTCCAGCACTACGGTTACAGACAGACATGTACCACCACACTTGGTTTGTACCAGGATGTTGGGGATCTAAACTCAAGTCCTCATGCTTTCATAGCAGGCACATTACTGGCTAAAGCACACCCTCAGCCCTATACTTGTTTCTTAACATGAGAACTTCTTTTTGCTCTCCATGTTTATAGGTTTTCAGTTCATTCACGTTTTTATTTCTGGAAACTGAGGGAAATATTCTATGTATCAGAGGGACATTTCCATTCTGAAGGAGGGAAGTAAGTGCTCCCGTGATTATAACTGGAAAACTCCTGTTCTGTAACTTTTCAAGGCAATCCAGATACAGCTGTCTTTATCTTTAGGCTCTTCCCACTTGCTCCTCTGTACATCTCCCCACCCTACAGTATCAAAGCCAACAACTCCACATCTTTCAGAGGTAGGATCTCCCATCCGCTCTGCCAGGGCCAAGGCTGAGCACACTAGAAAAGTCATTCTAAGAAGAGAAGATGCCAAAACACCTTTCCAAATTGCAGTTAAGGAATGTAACCAAGGTGATCAAATGTGTTACTTCCCAAGGCCAAGGAGAGCACTGGGCACATTCACAATTGTGTACTTTATTAGCAAGCACATTCCTGACAGCAGGGGATTTCTGTTTTGACAAAACATCCAAGAGAACCAAACCTCCTGCTTAGGACTTTTCGTGTCTGATGACTGTAAGAAGCGTCCAGACTCGATTCTGGTTTTGTACATATTAACCTGTTTTGTTTTTTTTTTTTCACTATCCCATACTCCCAGTGCAGAGGCCATAGCCACATTCCTTCTAGGGAATGACCTCTGATTTGTACCTTCACATTAGCATGCTAGCTAGGCAACTCACTAGCTCAATGGAGAGGAAGAGTAACCAGGGAAGACATCTGTACATTAGGATAGCTGATCAACTAAGCCAAACTAAATACAAACAACATGAGGTGCCTTGGATCACATATGCTTAAAGCCTCGTAAGTACAAACTAACTGGCTCTCTAACTCAGCTTCCCCTTAGCCAGTTCCCCAACTAGGAGGATGAGGCAGGGGAATCTTAAGTTTGAGACCAGCCTGGCTATCTGACTAAACTCTGTTCTCCCAAACAAAAACAAAGAAGTCAATGAACCCCATTATACATAAGTAGAAAAATTTCAGTTATCAAAGTACGACTAACAAAGGTAAAATTCTGATACAAAATGGCTACGTCTTCTATTATCATCCAATGCAAAGGATGGTTCAGAGTTAGAATAAGAGAAAGTGGGGGCAAGAACAGTCAGCAGTGAGTGTTTAAACAGTTTCGAAGCACCTGGCTCAATACTCTGATTGGATCTTCTCTGAAATTTGATTCTTTATCTTTTGAATGAATCTGACTTCGACAGTGAGTATGGGAAGGAAAGGGAAATCATATATGTGTCTGCAGTAGGGAGCATCTGCTTAGAGATGCCTCCTGGTGCCATGCCAAAGGCCTGAAGGACAATGCTCTCAGTAAGTATATCAACTTGGAAAATGTACAAAATTTGAGAATGTGCCACATAGACTCAGATTTGAATATTTGGTCCCCAGCTGGTGGTGCTGTTTGGAGAGGCTTAGGAGGTACAGGCTTGCTGAAAGGAAGTGTATTACTGGGAATAGGCTTTGAGCTTGGTAACTCTGTTACCCAAACAAAAACAAAGAAATCAATGAACCTTGTCATATATAAATATAAAAATTTCACTTATGGAAGTATCATCAATGAAAGTAAAATCTGGTACAAGCCCCAAAACTCTCTCACCCATAATTACCAGACATGGCTTAACTTCAATATGCAGAATGTGAACAGAAATCTATAATAAATACATTAATTTAAACTGGCCCACAATATAGAAAATTCACAAACTAAACCACCAAATGTGAAAATTAAACTGACAAAACTGTAAGTTGTGGAGGTCTCTAAGAGTAGAGAAAATTAAACAGAGAAAAACTTGGATGAATCATTTTGGTAAGGCTATGGTGGCAACAGTCTCTCTACATAGTGTGCCATGAGATAAAAGTCAATAAGATGTTACCTGGGGGAATGAAAATATAAAAATTGTTTTTCCATGATCTGAAATTTCCTATATAAAACTTTGTCAAAATACATTAATTTTTATTGGAAAAAAAATTGGTGCTAGTGGCAACTTCTTGTAAAAGATTATGCATAAAATAACTACAAATTACATGGCAGAGGGCACTGGTGTGTAATTATATTCTCCTTACAGGTAATAACAGTCTTTCCACAGGGACAATTCATATTTGTTACCATAGGTATCGTAAAGACAAACAGAGCAAGCACCAGGACCTCATCATTCTTCTTCCCTGCATCAACCATTGGCCAGGTCAACAAGTCACAAAGATATTCCAGCAAATCAGCCCCTGCCCTGCAGCTCCTTCCTTAGGCAAAGGGAGTGCCTGACATTACTACACCAGGGCCTGGAGTGACAGGAGCACAGCAAACTGGCTAGGGAAATGCCTGCTGGTCTTATAAATGCTCTTCCATCCAGGAGCAAAGATTCCCCTGCTACACTCAATCCTTAGAGACACAACACTGAAGCTTTCTGTACCTTTACTTTTGTAAAGAAACAAAGGGTCTAAATTAGAAAAGTTGCTAGGTAAATGACAATGTCTAATAATGGAATATATAGATAAGCTTTCTTCGGCTCCAAATTGATGGAAACTCAGCATTTTTATGTCCATGCCATGCATACTTTAGCAACCCCCTTCAGCTCAGTTTGCTATAGTGTAGTTATGAGGAATACTGGCAGATGCAGGATGCCACAAGACTCTCCAAAGACAAGAGGATACGGACCCTTGAGTGGCCATGTGGCTGATGCCTGGTTAGATGTACAGTAGCTCACATAATTCTCATAAAATCTTTAATACTTATTTTCAATCCCCATTTCACAAGTGTGGAGTGGAGGGAAGGGCAGAGGCCATGTAACAGTGTGCAGCTTGCAGTTAGGGGTGGATAAGCAGTGATAGCAACCAAGCTTTGAGATTCCAGAGTCTGCTCTGCTTGGCTTCACAAGAGCTTCACAGTCCAATGTGAAAGGCATCACTGAGAATGAGTGACAACAGAGCAGAGCCATGAACAGCCTTTCTGATGGCTAATATTGTCAAGTGGACAGGATCTGTTACCACCTAGAAGACAAGTCTCTGGGCACTTCTGTGAGAGATTTTGGGTTGGGTTAATAGACATAGTAAGACCCATCCTAAATTTAGGCAGCATCATCCCATCAGCTGGGTCCCAGGCTGGATAAAAAGGAAGGAGTTAGCTGAACATCAGCATTCATCTCATCTCTTTCTGCCTCCTGGCTGAAGATGTGAGCAGCCCGCCACCTCAAGCTCCTGATGCCCTGCCTTGCCCATCATAGTAGGCTGTAAGCCAGAATGAGCTCCTTTCTTGAGTTGCTTTTGTCAGGTTTGTTGTTTTTCTGGTTTTTTGCCTTCCTACCCCAACCCCGTCCAGCTGCAGGGAGTCTCATACTTTACCTCAGTACCTGTGAGTGTGGGCAATAGATAAGTTTTATATGAAAGACTCCTGCCTTTAGCCTCTGAGGCTGTATTCTGGTGAGGATTTCACAAAGCTCTTTGCAGATGGGCTGGATAGAGCCTTACCATTTCTGTCCCTTGGTATCCCTGGTCCTTGAAAGTCTTGGCCCTGCAGTTGCCCGGAGCCCACCTCGCCGAAACTCTGCCATCCCTGGAGCATCAGTGTTGAAATTTCCTGACTGCGTTCTTCGGATTCTGCATGGAGAGGAAACCAAAGACACTGTGTCAAGGCCAGGCTTATGGTTCTACACAATGCCCTTCCCAGTTCCTATCCCGAAGCCAAGGAAGATGACCTATAACAGTGCTTCCACCAGACTCTGAGATTCAATGCTAAGCCTAACTCTGGGATGAAAGCCACTCCTCACAGGATCAAAGTGAAGGCTGATGCCTTTGAGGAGACTCCAGCTTCTGTCCCTGTGAAGAATGAATCAGTTGGATGAGCAAGTACTCAGCTTTTGGTCTTAAGAGATTTTGAGACATAGACTGGCTCCTAAGTAAAGAAGGACCCAGTCTTATCTGTGCCTTTCCAGAAGGCTGGGTATGAGCTGCGAATAGGAGCAGGGTATGTGGGATATTTGGACACCTAGAATGAAAGACATGTGGCAACTAGCTCTATTTAATGCCTGCCTGCACCTTTCTCTGCAAAGTAACTTACATGCTTCTCTCTGACTGTGACCATTCTGCTTTGCAGCTATGCAAATGTGTGATGGAGCAGGAACACATACAGTATCTGTCTTGTCTAAGCATGTGATTATGACCATTGCCACCAACTTACTTTCCCCAGAACTTCTTGATGCCTTTGGGGCTCCGTTTGCCATCTGGGGTCAGGGGAGACTGGGGGCTTGACTCAGTACCAGATGAAGTAGATGAGAGTTCATTGGTCAAGACTGTATCTTCCCAGCCACTTTCTGTTTCTCCTAAGGTGGGCAGGATGGAAAGGTATGTGAATGAGAGTGAGGGGGACCTTCAGAACCCCACCCCAAGAGCAGAGCTATCCTTCTATGGGAGTCAAGACCACTCTTCCCAGTATTGCTTTTAGGACAGAGCTTCATCCCACGGTACTGGGAGCCAAAAGAGCTCAGAAGCGCCTCCAAGGCCTCTCATTAAGAACTGCTGAGGCCAATGTTTCAAATCGAGGTGATTTAATGTCTTCAATTTTAAGGTTTTGGGGTCCAAGTAATTGTAGACCATTCAAACAAGGAGCTGGCTATTTCATCAGAGGGAGACTCTGGAATGTGGGCAGGGCATTAGAAATGGAAAACAAAGGAATTCTCACATTCTACCTCACCTGGAACAGTCACAGTACCTAATACGGGAGCACTGACACTCCAGCCGCGATCTCCAGCAACCCAGAAGCAGAGAAGCCACATGAAGAAGCAAGAGAGGCCAAAGTCCAGCCCAACAGTAACGGGGAAGCAAAGAAATAAAAAGAGTATCATCGAGCAAAAGAGAAAAAACTCAAACAGAAAGGAAAACAATCCCACAAAGGACAAGGCAAAGAGTGACCAAGCTTGGCCCATAGGGTTAGCATGCTGAGAAGAGGTATCAGGCCAAAGGGTCCTGGTGCCACTTCCTTACAAGCTGAGGTGTCCATGGGCCTTGAGGAAGGGTCAGCAGCGGGGGAGGGGAATACTCTACATTATAGGTAGCCCCTGCACAGGTATGCCAGGACTCACACTACAATGACTCAAAACAGTCTGAGTATAACTGAACACAGTTATTTAAGGGTTTATCTGGAGCTATGGAAGCCCAAAGCAGAATTGAATTTTTGAGAACTAAAACATTTAGGTGGCCTAGAGAATAGACAGGTAGATGAATTGGGAATAGGTAAGGAGAACTCTGTGAAAACCAAAACAGTCACTCCTAGACCACCACATCAAATCCTCTGCTGCTGACCAAATCTGAAATACTCTAACTTGGGAGCCTGTATACTGTTGGCCTAATGGTAACACGGGCTGTATCAAAGGCAGATATGGGGGAAGAGACCAGGATGACAGATGAAGAAAACGGTATGAAGAGTAAATGGAGATGTTTAAGAGGAAGAGAACAAAAGCAATGGTGGGGATTCGAGGAAGAATGGACAGAGGAGAGAAGGGAGGTAAAAAACTTGGGAAACAGCTTTTCCAGACAGGGAATCTTTAAAAGTGGAGCCACTTTGGGAAACAACTTGCACAGGAACAACCCCTAAATTCCTAATCGTGGGCTGCAGTTATAGCTATGGTGACAGTAAGTGCTAAGGACAGAGTTTCCGAGGCCACCAACCCAGGGGCTGGACACTTACTCAGCTTCAGCAAGCTGCTGCCTGAAGGGTCAGGCTGCGGGGAGGCAGTAGGAGACTTGGCAGCTTCTCCATTGGGCATGGCTCCCGAGAGCTTCCCAGGTAAAGTAGGGTATTTCTGCTCTGCCAGGAAAGAGCTGTCCTATTGGAAGGAGAGATGCCAAATTAAACATTAGATTTCAGCTCAAACCAATCAGGAAATCTGTGTGCATAAACCCTTTCAGCAAGAGTCACTTTTCACTTAGCTTGTCTCAAAGATCCTTCTAAGATCGCTTCTCCTAGTCCAGAAGAAAGGTAAAGATTTACTTATACAGTGAAAACAGAGATGGCATCAAACCCCAATCCAGAGATGACTGTAACTGCTTGCAAAAAAAGAGCCCTGTGCCATTTGTCCCATGTTAGAGGTTCAATGAATTCATAGTCATTGAATATAGTCTCCCTGGGCTCTTCAAAAACACAATCCACAGTTTGCTAGTGGGAGAGGAGAGCAAGGGTAGTCTGGTCCAGGTTTCCCTGCTCTCCCCATACTTGCTTTCCCTATTGTGAGGAAAGCAAGGCTTTTGCTAAGACCCTTAATTACACCAGACCAAGGCAGATCTCTTGCAAGGGCTTAGCCATGAGCATAGATGATACTGAACCATGACTGATGGAAGGCCATGCTACAGCAGTGATATGAGAGTCTAAATTTGAAATAGCAGCAGGAAAAGTCTGTCTTGTGATAATAGTTCTTTTGTCCAATATCGTATTAAGACAAAGCAAGAACCTAGGTATACATTTAGGGGGCTGGAGGCTACAATCCAACCCAGTTCCACTAGGAACTTAGAATCATTCTCACTGAGGTAACACTTTGATGCAACAAGCCTGGTGGTTGGATCCTGGATAAAATGAAACCCCAAAGAAGCAGAGTGATTTAAAGAGAAAGACTAGCACTTCTGTCAAGAAGGATATGAAGATCACTAATGCTACAAACCTGAGAAAAACATAATGCACTGCAAGTGTGAGGATAAAGAGAAAATGAGATGACATCACTAAGAGACTCAACCATGGATCACTTGACTGGACCCAGAAGAAAAGTAATATGAGAGGTAGAACCAATTTTAAAACTGGCAAGTCAGAATGGGGTTGGGAGACTGCCAAGACCAGGACGCCTTTTGAAGCTTCGTTCACTGCAAGTCAAATGAGCAGTGCATTTCTGAATTCAGTTTGCTTCTATGTTTGAAATTCAGTTCATTCACTGCACACTGACAAGAGCCTCCACAGATGAGCTTAGAAATGAGAAATATGGACAGAGGAGACACGACTGTTAAAGAAATCTGGTCCATGAGTAAACATGTCAGAACCTCCAGCGATGAAAGCATGACATCTTCAAGCCTGTGTTGACCTGCAGGGCAGAGCGGTCAGCATGATCAGACATGTGGACCAGCCCAGCAGCTTTCCAGGGCTAGCTCATCCCCTGGCAGCTGCCTCACTCTCACCTGAGGCACTATCAAAAACAACACCAACTCTCAGGCTCCTCCCTGGCCCTGGGAATCAGCCCCTCTGAAAACACACCCACTTCAGGAGTCTGTATTTTTAACAAGCGTCTTGGATTATTCTGATACTTAGTCAGATTCAGACCATGGGAAATGAGCAGTCAAAACAGAATGTGTGAGCTGAAGAGATGGTGCTAGCTACACAAGCCCAGTGGCCCAAGTTCAATTCCAGGAACCCACATAAAGAGCCAGACTCAGTGGCATATGTCTATAATCCCAGCACTTTTGTGATGGGATGTGAGGCAGAGACAGGACAATCTCCCAGAAACTTGAAGGTTAGCTAGCCTGCAGTGAGGAGGCAGCAACAGAAACAAGAGAGGAGCTCTTGACTCAGTGAAGGATAAGGTGAAAGCCAACTACCCTAAGTTGTCCTCTGATGAATGGGCATGCACAGACACAATAAAATTGTTGGGATTTTTGTTTGTTTGTTTGTTTTGTTTTGTTTAGACATGCACAGACACAATAAAATTGTTGGGATTTTTGTTTGTTTGTTTGTTTGTTTTGTTTTGTTTAGGAAAATCAAAGAGCCTGAGACCAAGTTCTATATTCCGTAAGAAATGCAAAATGGGGAAGGACTTTCAATATGGGTTTTTGTTTGTATCACCATATAAGGTCCCCCAGTATAAGGCCAGGACAGCAGAAAGACCCTGACCATGACCACCCAGAGAATATGCTGAAGAGCTGTGGTACAAGAAGATATTCCCTAAGCCAAGGATGAGTGAGGCTCCAGACCTATAAGGAACAGAGGGCAATGGAGTGGGCCCTCCGAGCTCTGCTTCAGCCAAGATGCAAAGCTGAGGGAATGACTCACTGTTGGAGAAAGAAGTGCCATGTCAAGGCAGGACAAGAAGGAAATAGGAATACCTGACCCCAGTCTTGTTTCCTGTCTTTGAGAATAACCCCAGCAGTGGAGAGCCAAAGAACAGAGCAGAACCTATCAGCCAACTTCTCTAAATCAAAACAGAGGGGTGGCCTGCCAAGCATGGAGAGGTAAAGCCCTTTCTTTTTAACCTCTCAAACCCTCTGGCCATTTCGAACAGGGGGATAACAATTCCTCCCTTGGGCTAGTTGAAAATAATATGCACAGAGCCTGGCAAACAGCCTTTAGCAGACAAACACAAGCATAGAAAACACAATAGGCCAGGTCCAAGCAGGCCAGCAATCAGGGAGAACAGACCCTGGATCCAGAAAAGCATACCACAGGCTGCATCCAGGATATCAGGCCTATCTGTCCCAGGGTGCAATTTAAAGAATCTGCTGAAGAATGAGTGCTTTTAAGTCTGCTGACCCACATACAGGGGAAGACAATGACAGGTCTGAGAAGAAAGCATTTATAGAGGGCTGGAGGTGCTCAATTCTAGTGTTGGGAGTGGAAGAGACTGACTCATTCCACAGGAGAACAAGTCAGGGGTACAGGAGACATGGCTAGCAGTTAGAATGCAAGGGTGACTGTGACATAAGGAACACTCCGGCATAAAAAGCCTTAGTTTAAGCCCAGGCACCGAAGTAAGGAGATGCTGTGGGGAAACTAAGTACCTATGGGATGGTGCTGGGATGAGGTGGTGTGTGTAGAGGGAAGAGGTAGTCATGGTGAGCTAAGTGAAGTTTCATAAGATTGTAATTATGATCAAAGGCGGGGGAAAGCTAGTTTCAACCTGGAATGTGTACTCTTTGTAAGCACTCCTGCATCACTCATCTTCACTGTCTTAAAGCATGAATGATGAACCAGCTGCATACCCAAAGAAGTTAAGTGGTCACTTATATCTGTTATTTAGAGATAAGTGCGAATGGCTTCTCTGAAGCTGAGGCTAGAAGAGTGATGGCTGGGTCCCAGAGGCCACAAAACACAAGACACTGTGTGTTCAAAGCATTAGGATAGAAGAGCAGACAGACATTTGCTCAACAATCTCCATGGCTGAAGGAATGGCTGGCTAACCCTGAGTGTCATAAGTACAGAAGTGAAGAGAAGCCTTTTACCAAGCTATGAGGGTACAGATGAGGTCTTCCTTCCACAAAGAGTTAGAAGAACAGAAATGCCCCCATTCTGCCATAGTGGTGTGAAAGTATAAAGAGCCTTCTCAAGGCACATGCAGTGAAGCCTTGTGTCTACTTTGGAAAGCAGAGGAGACAGAAGAGCAATGCATAGTACATTCCCCTTACAATGCTACAGATAGTGGTTGGGCAGGGCTGACACTAATTATATGAAGCTTCAGTGTACGATGGGGGCAATATTGGTCTACCAGCCTAGAACAATAATCATCTGCTACTTCAGTATTCTAGGAGAAAATGGGTTCTAACTGAGTTTTTATAACATAGTTGTTCACTGAGGGCAGACTGAGTGCACACCTGTGTTTTTAACTGTGGCATCTCAGCACAGAAGAGGAGTGTTGCCAACATTCTTCTGTGCAGAAGGTTACACCTTCTATAGAGTAACTAAGCCTAACCTTTTTCATCAAAGATTAGTTTCTCTGAGCTTACAAAGCAGAGGTAATCATGATAAACGATACAGCACAGATAATGGCAGAGAGAGTGCATTATGCATATGGACTACACACAATGACATTTCTCTTTTCTTCATTCCTTCTTAACTCCTACAGTTAACGTATTTTAAGGCTACAAAAGCTGTACCTTGTTAAAATACATTACAACCAAGGAACGGTGATAAAAACATGAATGAATGTACCTTGGGCTCTCCCACCAGGGACAGCTGGTTCCCATCGACACACTATGGAGTGACATGAAGGATTCGAACATGAGGAGAAAAAGAAAGCTGTGTTAGTCCAAATCAGCAGCTCAGAACCACCTGCCTGTTTACATTTGATGCCCTGAGAAGAAGTACATTGCCCCACCCTTCATGTCAGAGGATCACCACTCATAGCAGGAAACAGGCCACTGTCTTAGCCATTGAACAGATATCCTGGGCAGGTGCCAGAAATCTGACCAATGCAGCAAGAGGCATATGGCTGAGGGTTGGCTCCTTTCAACTCCAATTTCTGTGGATTTCTACCATGTTATTCTGATGGAGATCAGAGCACAGTACAAAGCATGGCTCACCAGAGGGTCCATCAGGACAGGACTTGGTACTCAGTCATTGCTAAGCTCAAAGCCTTTCACCGTTGCCTCCAACACTGAGCCCAGTCACATGGTCAAGTCCATTCTTACACAGGGGACCACAAAGCCCTCCTCGGATCTTTTCAGACTCTTTTAAAGCTACCTCTCTAATCTTCTAGATTATCCCAGGCTGTATTCCTGAAACCACCCCTTTACCTACGTTCCTCCTTCTTCAGAACTCCTGCAGAGATCCCAGGTACACTGGGGAGATGAGGCCAGAATCCTATGATCTTCTCTGGCTTGATGTGACATATGGCTCTGACCTGGTTATTCTTGCTCCCATGTTCCCCAAAACCTGCTGGTGCCCACCTACACATCCAGTACTGTGCTGGGCCTAAAGGAGTAACTCAGTACTTGGCACAGCTGGTTAATGAGCTGACCTTATCCCCAGAATCATGTCTCAAGTCTTCCAGACTACAGGAGAGTTTCTTCTGAGCCCTGGATAAACACAGAAGGAAGGAATCATAGTGACTATGGAAGGAGTCATTTGGTGTCATTCATGCATGCAGCATGTCAGATGCTTAACCAGCTTCCTGCCTTAGGCTCGAGTAAAGATCAGATAAATCACCCTCACAGTAGGTAACCCACATATAAGTTAAGAGCTTGGGGAAAGCCTGGCCCAACAGTGAGCAGTACTGGTATTATATAACTACTGGGTCTCCCAGAGGAACTCCAGTGTCTACAAAATCAAAGTGGAGGAAAAATGCTGGCGCTGGCTTGCATTTAAATCCAAAAGTAATCTGGGCAGGAAGATGCAGGCACCTCCCTTCAGAGGAGGCAAGCACACCAGCCAGCCACAGCTTGAAGGACTGCCTAGGATCTTCCAACCCTCCATCCCAGCTCTATCTGCCCTGAGCAGTCAGCTCAGGGGACCCATGTCTTCATAGGGGCTATTCTGACAAGGACATCAAATGCATAGTAAAGGGGCAATGCTACCAGGGGCCACAGAGGAAATGGAGGGATGATAGCCAACAAGTACCCTGACTGGTCAAATGCATAGTAAAGGGGCAATGCTACCAGGGGCCACAGAGGAAATGGAAGGATGATAGCCAACAAGTACCCTTTCCCCAATGCCAGTGACTCTCAGCCTACAGGAGAGGCTGAGGAATCCCCTCAATAGCCAGGAGGATTGAAACTGCCCAGAACCCTGGGGCTATGCTCACCACACCTGCCCAGTCACCTTATGAACCCCAAGAAGAGGAAGATGATCAATTTTCTTACCTGGTCTCCAATGACTTCTGTGGCAAAGGAGGTGGCCCTGGCGTGGGAGAGCTGCCTCGTGGTGACACCTGGTTCACAAACAGAAGAGCAGCAATGAAAGGCAGTTACCATTTGGGAAACAAACTTTCCCCTTAATGACTGCTCTGAGAAAAATACTTCCTTCCCTGGCTACAGCTGTGGCAGGTCTACTTCTATGGATGTCTTGGTCTTTCAAGAAATCCTCATCAGGGATCCAGTAATACACTAAGCTCTGAAAGACACTAGCCATATGAAGCCACCAGGGTCTAATCACTTTTTGTCCCTAAGATCTAGACCTAAGTCTAGGTCCCAGCAGTAGACTCCCAAAACCTCACTGCCTCTGTCCTTCCATAGCTTGTCTCTTACCTTCTTTTATTCAGTGGGTCACTGCCCCACACTACCTAAAACACCTCCTTTTGGTTTATGTGAGCCAAAGTCAAATTCTGTGACTTTCATTGAGAGGACCCTAGTGACACAGTCACTCAGCAGGTGTCCACACCATCTGTAGCCTGCCAATTCTATATTAGGAATGAAGCATAGCACACACCAGGAAGCAGATTAATAAGCAAGGATAAAGGAACTATGACAACTGCTGTGGCACTGACACCAACGACATGACATAACTCGGGAAGTTGGGGAAGAAACTTCCCTCTCCATGGGCAGACTGACATGGCTTCAGAGGGGAGAACACTGGAGCTGGATGTGGAGAGGTGAGAAGGGGTTCATTAGGAAGGTAAGAAAGAAAACATCATCTCAGGGTGAGCCTGAGCCAATGGGGATGACAGAACACAGTTCAGTCTGCACTGATGCACTGACCACAGAACCTCTCTCTCCTCGAGCCTCGGGTCTTTCTGGCTTTCTCTAGGAAAATCTCATCACAGCACAGGGATTAAAATCCAGAGCTTGCTGGTCAGACAGATCCAGGTTGTAGCCCTGTTCTGCTCTCTACCTACAGTGTTACTTAGAGAATATTACTCACCCTCTCTGAAACTGTAGTAAAGTATTGTAGTAAAGTAAGAGCCCATATAGGCTGTCATGAGAATTGAGCCATGCACACTGCTCACGTCAGTGACCACGAGACAAACTGAGCAAGTCCTGATTACAGCTCAGCTATAACCACCAGCAACTTAATATACTTTCATTGAGTCAATAATGTGGGGAGGGGGGAGGCTCACTGGATGACTTTTGGTTCTTCCTTAAAGAAATGATTAAGCTGGACTGTCAGACAATCATTTTCACTTTGATCTTTCTAGAGTTAATGTGTCTTTTGACCCTGGCGTAGCCTCCACCCCCATCAAGACCTCCATCTATGAACTTGTTTATTTGTGTTTAACCAAGTTCCAGAGAGTGATATAGTAGGACCAGATTTTAAATCAAAGAGAACAAACTACATGAGCCAGTTAGAGGGGATGACAGAGGCATGTGAGAGGCAGGAAAACATTGATGTGGAAAATGCCTGTGTCTCTACATGGTCAAGACGGATTCACTTGTTCATCAAATATGTTGAAGTCTATTGGGAATAAGTCATGACTACAGACTCTGGAGAATTCTTAATAAATAAATAACAAAACCAAAACACTACCCTTGTTCTGCGCTACATGCCAGAGAGGAAAGATAAACAGAAAGTCAATTAAAGAGGAAAATTCCTGCCCTTTAGAGTTCCAGTGCCCACCATGCTGTCTCTAGCCAGAGCTCAGACCTCAGCCTGGGTTGTTGTTCCCTAAACCTTCTTGCCAAAGCTTGAGGACCATTCCCTGGACTGAACTATTCATAAGTTAAGACACATAATGGACAGGTGCCTGCCAGATGCCTCTCTGGTCAAGGCAAGCTGCCAAGGACAACTTAACCCCACACTTTGGGAGGAGGTGCGCTACCTCTTGTTTCAATACTTCCTCGGGGTTTTTATTTGTGGGGTTCCATTTTCTGAAGCTTCCCTCCATTTCATCTTCATTGATTGAGATGGTTCTCTCTGAAGGCCCTGGAAATAGTAAAACAATGGCAGTAAATCACTATTGTGAGACTTAGAAACTCATACCACAAAATCCTCATGGTGTTTGTTCTTCATTAACAAATACTGAGGAGGATCGCTTTAGCTTGGGGGTTTGACTCATCCTGTCTCAAAAACAAAAAGACTAAGAAGTGTTATGGTTTGAGTATGGGGTGTCCCTGTTTGGTTCTCAGCTGGCACTGCTATTTGGGGAGACTGGGAGGCCTTTCAAAGGTAGTGCCTCATTGGAGGACATGGGCTGCTGGGCTGAGTGGCAATCCTTGAGGGTTACTGCGCAGCCCATTTCTGTCTAGTCTTTCCACTTCCTGGTCAATCAGAATACGAGGAGTCCCTATACACTCCTGTTGTCATGGCATACTGTTGTCTTCAAAATGAGCCAAATCAATTCTTCCTCCCTTATCATGCTTCCTGTTGGGTATTTGATCAGAACAAAAAAAGTAATTACTACATAAAGAGACATTAATAGTGTGATTGGGAAAATTCTTCAGGATATCCAATCAAAAGATGGCACAATGGTCACTTTAAAGTCAAAGCTCATCCCTGGAACACAGGTAAGCCACTTCTTGCCTCCAACCTTGTTTCTTGGACAAGAGCAATTGGGTCCCATGAGGCATTTGGCCCAAGATCACAAAGAATTAGAGAAAACAGGCTTAGACATTTATGCGGAGCCTGGAAGATTCCTTGGGTAGGAACCAGTCAGTTCCTACCCCAGCAGAGACAAGGTTTGTTTCCAAACAGAGTCAGTAACTCAGCCGGAATCAGACATCTTCAAACAACCCTCCTGTGTGAAGTAATTGCTCCTGCAGGAGAGCCTGGAAGATTCCTTGGGTAGGAACCAGTCAGTTCCTACCCCAGCAGAGACAAGGTTTGTTTCCAAACAGAGTCAGTAACTCAGCCGGAATCAGACATCTTCAAACAATCCTCCTGGGGTCCCATGAGGCATTTGGCCCAAGATCACAAAGAATTAGAGAAAACAGGCTTAGACATTTATGCGGAGCCTGGAAGATTCCTTGGGTAGGAACCAGTCAGTTCCTACCCCAGCAGAGACAAGGTTTGTTTCCAAACAGAGTCAGTAACTCAGCCGGAATCAGACATCTTCAAACAACCCTCCTGTGTGAAGTAATTGCTCCTGCAGGATCTGCAGTTCCATTGCACGAGACACATGTGCATCACTGTGCTTATATGAATATACACAGTGTTTATATGCTGCATTGGTCTGGGTGATAAACATGAATTACATGACTTTCTATGGCAACCTGGGTACCTAGAGACTCATGAAATTCTCCAAGTTATCGTCTGTATCTCTAGGGAACTTCAGATCCTGTAACAAACACACAAGCTCTGAGGCCCATGAGAGCTCTGACTGACCCAGTGTGACTCCTGCTAAGGCAGATCCCAAAAAGACCGACTGAAGACCCCGTCATGGGGAGGACTCTCAAGAGCGAAAATTGATCACTGTTTTCTTGGGCAGTCCCTAGAAGTTTCATTTGATGAAATTTCTAAGAATCACCATCTGCACGTTCAAGAGTCTACACAGATCAGCTCTCCAACACATCTCCAATCAGGGACAAAGGAATTTCTCCTGCCTCTAACACAGTAGATGAAATAACTTTCAGGAAAAATGGGGTTCCTCCTCCTCTTACCCTGAGTTGCCTTCACAATCTCCTTCACCCTTAGGTACTTGTTCAACAGCCCTGTAAGCTCCTCTATCCGACGGTCCTGCCATGGTATAAGAGCAGATCAAGATTAACACCACCACTGGTCCCTAGTTAGCTTCATTTAGAACACAACAACAACAAAAAAATCCCACATAAGACCTCTAAGGACCCACCCAAAAGAGAATGTCAGGGTCCAGCTGGCCCTAGTATCTGCCTCACTGACATCTATAGACACTCAATGCACTATCTGCAGGTGTGGGTCAGCAGTCACTGACAAACCCTTGAAGAGGCCTACATGGTGGCAGAGGTAGACCCCTCTGCCTCCTACTCTCCTAAAACACCCGGATGAAGAATACCCCTGATTCCTGTGTCATCCTCTGGAACTACAAACATAAGACATATCCCAATCTCCTCACCAGTCCCTTGGTAGTCTGAAGCACTTTACACAACAGAGTGTATTCCAAAAGAGGATCCTTTCTTTCAAGGCTACAGTCTGGGAACTTAGGTCACACAGATCCTAGAATATTTGGGTAGCTTTGCTATCCACTAGTCACCTGACAAATTATCCAAAAAGTTTGAGTCTCTTTCTTCATCTGAGAATGTGGGGCTGAGATTCTCAGGGACATTGTTTACACCAGCTAACTGCTTTTCAATGTAAGGATGTGGTTATTTTATGATTATTCAGGAATCAGACATGACAAATATAAGGTAGCAGGATAAAATGGGCCACTGCATGCTGCTAGGTGTCTCTATGATAGTTCTACCATGAGGAGTAAATTGAACACATAGGGGCTTTTGCTGAGTTTTGCTAAGAGTTCTGACATTATATTTTTTTCAGCACACCGCCATGAACAGGCAGGGCTCTAACCTGCCTTTGGGAAACCGAGTTTAGTTAAGTTCTCAGGCACATAAACAAGAACTAAAGTTGAGTCTCCCGAGAAAAGCTGTTATTTTAACATACGCTGTCAATGATAGTATGCCATTGTCCAGTAGAGCAGAGACCAGAAGGAACCAAACAGAGTTAGAGGTGCCTGCAAGGACAGGGTATCACAGTGACCTCTCACCTTATCCTCATTGGCAACTAGCAGTGTTTCCATCCCCATTTTCAGACGGTGGATTTCTTGGTCTGAAAGAATTGACGTACAGAAGGAATTATTTGTACAAATGCTGACAGCTATTACCATATGCTGATGGCCCTCGAGGTCAAACATAAAGATTGACAAGTGAATTTGTCTCCTTTTTATTTGCTGAAAGAACCTGGGATGGTGTCTGGCACAGTGGGTCTCATTAGGTATTTGTTGAATACATTTGTGAATAACCTAGTGTTTTGTCTTCTCTTTCTACAGAGGCATCTAGGGGCAAAACAAAATTAGCATTTACTCAAAAGTGTCAGAGAGGAATCACAAATGTTTCACAAACAGTATCTCCTAAGAACATAAACATTCATATTCTATGCAGATAAATGACGAGGCCCCTGACTAGATTAGGGGGAAACCATGCAATCAGACAAAGTAGAAACAGAGGAAATTTCTATAAAAGCAAATCCAAAACAATTTATGGATGATAAATGGACACTGGGCATTACACAAAGGCTTGGTAATTGGTTAAATTTAAAATTGTTAAGTCTGACTGAAGAAATGTTTATGTATGGGAATGGGGTTACATGCCTATAGTCATAACTCTTCATGGGTAAGGTACAAGATCCAAGGTCTGAGCCCTGCCTGGGAAACTTATGAAGACACTATCTCAAAATACAAAGTTTTTTTCCTTTAAAAAAAAAGGGTAGAGATATGTTCTAGTGGCAGAGTAATGTCTCTATGCACAAGGCCTTGGGCTCAGTCCAAAACCAAAAGGGAAAAAAAATTAAGGGGGAAGGGACAGAAAGATGGCTCCATGAGTAAATGCAGTTGCCACTGAGCCTGATAACTTGAGTTTGAGCCTCAAGATCTACATGGTGGAGAGAAGTGACTCATATCCTCTGATATCCACATACATAATGTGGCATGTGTGTGCCTGCTTGCATGTGCACCTACACAAAAAATAAACATAATAATAAAAAAACCAAAAACAAAAGAAATGTTTAGATTTTCTGATAAATACACAAAAGCAAATGTTATGGTTAAGGGAGAACAATGCACTTCATTACAAATATACAAGGGCTCTGTGTTGGTTCATGGTAGAAAAACAATGGCTTACTCCAAGTTTAGACTCAATGGGGGATATTTCTGACTTCTTCCAAAGATGTCTAAAGAGTGAGGCCACAGGTTCAATGCCTGAAGGAAGAAGAGGCCATTTTCGAGGTCCTTAGAGGTTTTGGAATTGGCATGGACCTGGATATTCTAGAAAAATACTTCTGCTTAATCCTAAGATAAGCGACAGGAAGAGATGTTTTATTGAAGAACAGTATAAAAGACAAGGGATCCCAAGTACAGATCTCCTGCTACCTCTGTGATAGTCAATGAGAAATAGCATCAGGATGTGTATGGACTCTTTGTGGAGAGTTACCAGAGCTCATTCCCAGAGCCAGTGGAGTATTAGAGGGGCAGCATGAGGGTGAGAGGGTAATTTCAGATAATGACTGTTAAAGCTGGATGCACTGGTCAGAACCCAACCTAGCTGAGCATAAATGACAGCCAAAGAGGGCAAGATTCCTGCTAAAGGATGGGAAGGGATAAGCCTGATGGTCACCAATTTCTTTTTCAAGCTCAATTACTATTACAAGGCTACAAAATGTTCTCACTCTATATGGAAATGCAAGCCAGGCAATGCTGAGGCCAAGATAAGACTAAACTGTGGTAGCAACCATAGGACTGACATTGTTCAACATCTAGGTGGCTAGTGGAGGAGCTGGGGTATGTGTGATCTTTCTAGATCCTTGGAGAATTGCCACAAGCATACTATGTATGCTAAGGACAATATATGAGGGTTTCTTCTGTTTTTAATTGACAAGATTTGAACTCCCCAGGGAATATCCAGTATTATTTTACTTAATCAATGACTCAGTTTCAGGGTGGACCAAATATTGTGCTAGGCTCTGAAGTGTTTTTAAACAAAGATACAAATCCTTGTCACAAGACCTCCCCAAATACAGCACTGCTAAATTATACTATGAGCTATGTTGAGAACAAGAGGCTATTTGAGTGTAACAGAACCAGAATCACCCACCTGAGGTTGGGTAGCCAGGAGGAGCTTCCTGGGAAATGACATTTAAGTAAAGCTCTAAGGATGAAGAAGGAATTGACTTTCTTTTGCAACCTTGGGGCCTTGTACAAATGTCAGGTGCATGAACTGCTAAGCCTTTTCTTTGGTGGTAACATCAGAGCAAGGCCTTTCAATCTCATGAAGTCAGGTGGTTTTAGGGAAAAAAGCTCCAGAGGGGACTGCCTGAGGCTGCTCAGAGCTTCAGTCAGCATTGTGAGAAAAGCCTTCAGAGGTGAATGTTCTAGATAAGGGAGGGGCATGACACTAATACCACACCAGAGCTCAGCTGCACAGGCAAGCCACATGTACACATACGCACATGCTCACACACATTTATGCATGTGTGTGAACATTAGCACATCCACCTATGCACACACACACATAGTTATTCACATATACATGCCCACTTAGAAGAGTGGGCTCAGGGCCTAAGATAATGTGTTCCGTCACAGTCAATTTAGTTACCTCGCTCTGTATGGTCACTGTGGAGAGCTGCACTCCGTGAGAGTTGGCTGTGAAGACGCTCAATTTCTGCATCTTTTAGGGCCACCTGTTCTTGCAGCTGGGCTACCTCAGCCTGAAGAAGCAACAGAGAGTCCCTTACAGGTCAGAAAGAATTCTAGCTCATTACAAAGCACCTCATGTCATAGCACAGAGCCCATTGGGCCCCAAGAGACTGGAGGAGTGAAGGACATAGGTAAGGAGTGAGAGTAGAATTACCCTCCCCACCGGGTGGAACTCTGCAGAAGGATCTCACTCACCCACCTACCATCACCTTGCTCTGTCTCCTCATTCCCTTATCTGACCAAGCTGTTTCTCTTCCCTGCTCTGTAAAACCTGGGTAAAACTGAGGCCAGGAGATCTGGGATTATATACATAGGTAAGGCTCTGTCCCTGCTGCACAGTTGGACCACTGATTCTGTATGTGATGTTTCCTCTCCCAAAATACACATATTCATTTAGATATGCCATTCTAACAACCATATGTAACTCCATCTTTCCACCACACTTAGAAATATTGTGGAAATAAAATCACTACTGCTGATTTTGAGGTGAGTTAAGAGTTCCCTCCTTAGATACTCTCCTTTTGTTCAGTCAATGCTTTTGTCCAGTCTCCAGGCACAGTCGCATGCTTGCCTGTGTGCATACATACAAGCTTTAAAGTGTGTTTAGTATATATACTTTTTTAAAGGGAAAGCACATAAGCATGCTGCACACAAATCCACACATGCATACACTGGCATTGGCACTGGGCAGTTCCCACATCTCCACTAGGTCTAACAGGTTACAATTCACACACAGCACTATGCATGGTTATCCATGCTTTCCAGACTCTTTAGAAAATCAGAGCTCTTCCTGTCTCACTCCAAGAGGCTCTTTGGAGCCAAACAAATCTAGAATCTCTCATGTCCCAGTTGGCTGACCTTAGACAAGTAGTCACACCTTTCGAGTCTCTCAGCTCAATAGTCCCCACTTCATGGCCTATGGGAAGACTACATAACTTCTGAGTGATTAGGCCTAATACCTATCACATATTAAAGGCCCAGTAAATGCTGCAATTTTCCATCCCTTAGGATAAAATTCCATTTGGAACATCAAACCAAGAAAGGAGTTAGAACTGAGCTCCGAGCAGTAGAACACACAGCAAAAGCATCTACTCTGCCCACTGCTTGCCGTGAAGGAACCTAATCATATTCCAATTCTGGTTGTCAGAGTACGACATGGGGTCCAAGCCCATCATTGGAGAACAGCAAAGAATCAAATGAGCAATGGACCTATTGGTGACTCTTTTGCCTGCCAGGCTTTGGTCAGTGTTGTCAGACTGAGTACCCTGCAGTCACTGTTCTCACTACTTACAAATCTCATGTAGACCCATAAGAACCCATGGAGGATGCAGCTTTCCTGAAAATATTGAGAGAAAGCAGTTTTCATGACTCCATGTGAAATCAGTCAGTGACTGTCCAGGCAAGGGTGATGTCTTAAGTTACTGTTCTATGAAGAGACACCATGACCAAGACAACTCATAAAAAGAAAGCATTTAATTAAGGGCTTGCTTACAGTTTCAGAGGGCTAATCCATTATCATCATGGCAGGAAACAGACAGGCATGGTGCTGGAGCAGTAGCTGAGAGATTTACATCACGGTCCATAGGCAGCAGGCAGAGCAAGAAAGAGATTGGGCCTCAAAGGGCTTTTGAAAACTTAAAGCTCATTCCCACTGACACATCTCTTCCAATAAGACCACAACACCTGATCCTTCCCTAAACAGTCTGACAACTAGGAACTAGACATTCAAATGTATGAGCTATGGGGGCTATTCTCTTTCAAACCACAAGAGATGCCATCTGAGGCTATTTGCGCTGATGTACAATACCACCCACTCACCCTGCCTGCTCCAGTGGCCCTTCGAAGACTTCAGTCTCAATGCTTCATCACAGGACTTCATCAGCCAGCCTGCCGCTCCAGTGCAGTTTCACACACTCACCTAGTCTGTTCTGATGCAGAACTCCACTCTCCCAGCCAGCTGCCCCAATAGAGAGCTCCAGACCCTCCAGGCTGCATGCTAGCAGGTTAATAGTATGAATGAAGGCCACTCTTAAGAGACCTGGCATTCCTCAACCCTTCTCAATGGTTCTGAATAAACCTTCCCTTACAGAGGGACAGAGATGTAAAAGAAAGACAGGAGATGAAAGGTCAGATTTCCTTCCTGCAAAGCTCACTATGGAGCCCTGTCCCTCTACTCCAGGCCCTATCCAGAATCAAAAGATTCCATACAGCTTACTGAGATGGGCAGCCACAGACCACGCATCATTTGGGGTTCACATGTCCATTGGCTTATGGATAATGGTGCCAATGGTTTCTGACAACTGTAGCCTTAGGATTCTCAACCCAAATGCATTGCATTTCCACAAGAGTCAGGATATCCTTTGGAGATAATCTCTCAACTTTTTTTGCATGGCTCCTTGCTTGTGGTTCTTTACTGTGAATAGGATAGTCTGTTACGAATCCAATATTGATGCTTATCTTCTGGCCTCACAGACAGACTTCAGTGAAGTTTGCCTATTGAGACAGAACGCAGCACCTGACACTCACGAGTCTCTTCTCAAGGCTGGTCTCTATATGAGGCCACTGGTGTACTACAGATCCTGTCTTAGTTGTCTTTCTATTTCTGTGATAAGACACCATGACCAAGTCAACATATAGAAAGAAAGAGTTTATTGGGGACTTACAGTTTCAAAGGCTAACTCTGAAGGGACACAAGCCCACTAGAGTATGTGGCTCTTGGCAAGCTTTGCCCTTCTTCCCCATCCCTTCTGCCTTGCTAAAAACCTTTAGATTACATTCCTAAAGCTAGCCACCAAGGTCCATTCCCTTATTTGGCTACTTCTTCCTCTTGTGGCTGAGTACCAAAGTCCAGCAATCAGAAGCCCCTTTGGCTCACCTAATTAACGTGCCCAAGTAAAATTAAACACCTCATCCAAACACAGCATTTCCCCCTTTATTTTTATAAACCACCATTTGTCTATGTGCCACCTCTGTCTCCTCTCTATCCAGAGGCAGTCCTTGTCCCTCTGGAACAAATATGCCTGCCCCTTTCCATTGTCCTCTCTTCCCCTTCTCTCTCCTTTATCACAGCACTCTTGCCCATTCTAACACAGATCTCCCATTTTTCTCTTCTTAGGAATTACACCTGCAAGGTCATATGCTGCTGTTTTCTGCCTGAGTCAGAAAACAGCTGCTTAATTTTTCTTCCCTACATAATAAAGGATCTCTCTGTGAAAAAGGTGTTTGGGTGTGGTTTGTGCCTAATGCAGGAAGGCAGCTGCAAGGTCATATGCTGCTGTTTTCTGCCTGAGTCAGAAAACAGCTGCTGCTTAATTTTTCTTCCCTACATAATAAAGGATCTCTCTGTGAAAACGGTGTTTGGGTGTGGTTTGTGCCTAATGCAGGAAGGCAGCCCCACTGTGCAGGAGTCCCCTTCAGACTACATAACCATGATGGAAGGGAGCCGGTAGCAGACAGGCAAGCATGGCATTGAAGCAGTGGCTCCGAGCTTATATCGTATCCTAAGAATGAGGCAAAGAAAGCTAACTAGGAATGTCAAGAGCTTTAGGAACCTTAAAGCCCACTCCCAGTGACACATCTCTTCCAACAAGGCCATACCTTCTAATCCTTCCCAAACAGTCCCACCAACTGGGGACCAAGTACTGAAAATATGTGCCTATGCCACAGACCAAGTGACTTGCCTCAACCTCTACTCTGGATCGGCTACAAAACAGGGAAAAACCACAGGTTATCTGCTATCCTTAGAAGGTTATCCGACGCACACATAAATCCAACGCCCTATTGAGAACCATGAAAGCTATCTCAGCCATAAAAACAAGCACTGTTGCCAGCTCTCAAAAACAATCAGCAGTTGGATAGTGAAGCAGAGAGGGGTGCTCTGGATTCCTTCAGGGCAAGAAAGGATATTCTACATTCCTATAGGGCTGTGTCTTACTAAACTCAAGGGACAAACACTGCTTGCACTGGAGATGAGTCACCTTTAGGGGCTGAGGAAGCTTATGGAGAAAACTGAACAGCCTATAAACACGGGGAGGATTTCAGGTGGAGAAGTGGCCACTGCAGGAAGGGGAGGGAAAGCACAGACATGGGAGACCCAGGCCAGAACCTCACCCTGGCCACTTGAAGTCTTGTGGTCCTTACCAACAAATCAGCATCAAATCCACCCAGTGCATTATTTTCTGACTTAACAGAGGAAAGTATACAAAGGGCTGGGTGGGTTCTGGCAGGAGGTGCTTCACACCTGGTAATCATTAAAGACTCCTCAGCCAGCATCTCACAGGTCCACATGCCAAGGCAGAGAGCTTGTGTGAATTAAAATGAAAAGAGTTCCTTGGTTTTATAACAAAGGGTGGTGTGTGTAACTTCAAAGGCTGGACTTACAGGAGTGAGTGCCGTAGTGGAAAGTTTTGAGCTTCTGGAAAAACAAGGCTTCTAGAATTGGTGACACCAAAGCACAGCACACACAAGGCTGTCTGTGCTCAGACAATAGCTGGTCACCAGGCGAGGTCTGACTGGCAGTGAGTGTGGGAGAGTTACTAATCTCTTTAGGCCTCCATTTTATCATCTGTGAAATGGTTAAGTGTGTTGGTTTTGTTTTTTTGTTTTGTTTTTACATTTGTACATGAGAACATGATTATATAAAAACTAACATTGTGTTAAGTACTTTTTCTTTTATTAACTTAAGAAATCATAAATTTTTAAATGGAAAAAAATCCCAATATACATTATAAGTTGTCAGCACAAATAACTGAGTAAGAAATGGGAGAAAGGAAAGAAATGAGATAGGGAGAGAAAAAGAGGAAGGAGGACCACAGAGAAAAAAAACCTGGAAGAGCAGAAATACTAACAATGGTCATAGTGGCTTGGTTATCTGGGTGGTTTTTATTTTCTTTCTTTTAAAAATATTTTTTAAAATTATTTTGTGTGGGCAGGTGCCATGCTTGCATTGTATATTTATGTACCACATGCAAGCAGTGATAGCAGAAGTCAGAAGAGGGTTTCATATCCCCAGAACTAAAGTTACAGATGGTAAGAACCACTATATGGGTTCTGGTTATTGAACCTGAGTATTCTGGAAGAGCAGCTTGTGATCTTTAACTGATGAGCCATCTCTTCAGCCTCTTTTATTTTTGAGACAGGGTCTTATTATGCAGCTCCAGTTAGCCTGGAACTTACTATGTGGAACAGGCTGGTCTCAAATTCACAGAGATCTGCCTGCCTCTGCCTTCTAAGTGCTGGGATTAAAGGTATGTATCACCACACACAGCCCTCCTTTAATTTCTATTTATGGTCTGAATTTTTTTTACAATGAGCATTATTTTTTAATAATTAACAATTAACTTTGGAAGATACAAAGATACAAAGAAACAAAGATACAAACTCACAATAATTCTAATCAAAAGTGTGTGTCTTTATACACACATGTACATATGCATGCGAGACACAGTACATGTGCACATGGTTGCCTGTGCATGTGTTTGTGTGTAGAGTAGAGGACAAGATGGTTTGGTCCTCAGGAGGTAGCCACCTTCTTCTTTGAAATACAGTATCCCACTGGGATCTGGGGTTCACCACTTAGACTAGGCTGGCTAACCCAGGG